ATCTGCATTTATTGCTGGTATTCCTTTATTTTGAGTTTAATTTTAATTAGGCTGTCGAAATTAATGCAGAACAATTTTCTTGATTCGCAAAGAATTTTTCTTATAGAAAAATCTTACCCCGACTGGGTAAGCATTTTTCGACTACTAATTTCCCGTAACTTTGAAATCTTAAACTTTAATCGACTTCTGTTGCTCTGTGAATTTGTTCTCTGTGTAGGCAGCGTAGGGGAGATTTAGGGGAGTTGTAAGCCGAACAAGAGGCGTGCGTGTGGCAAGGAGCGGAGCTTGGTGAAAGGGAGGGGAGGCGGGAGGTTGAAAGGAGAGCAGGGGTAGCTGTTTTGCTATTTTCCTTTTTTAGTTACTATTTTGCACATTTTTCTATTCAACAATGAAGCCACAATAGAAAACGTCAACTAGTGCACAGAGAGAAAAGATGATGGGATAAAAAAAACTAGAAGGGGCGGGCCGGTGAGAGGCGGCCAAAGAAAGGCAGACAGAGATAGTATCATATGCAAATCTAATGCAGAAGCGAGAAGGCAACACTTGATGTGCATACAAAGTCTGAACGGATTTTGAATGGCAAACAAGCGGCAAGGCGAACGGCGACGGCGACTGCAACTGCAACTGCAGCAGCGGCAGAGGCAACAGCGGGCACCAAATATAAAGCCCAGCCCAGCCCAGGGTAGCCGGTCCGGGTTCGGGTCCGGGTACGGAATATGGGAAATGGGAAATGGGTCCGGGAAACGGGTCAGGCTACGGATCTGCAGCTGAACAATTACACTGAAAACTATAAATAACCAAAAATGTATAACCAAAAATACACGTGAAAAGCTATATAACCTTTCTTGAAACCACAAATATAATACAATATTGATTGAAATACGACCTAAAATATTTTAAAAGAGAACCCGTGAAATTTAAAGGCAGCAATATTAAATTTATATGCAAAGGGCTTGTCGTTACTAATTAATAGCTAATTGTTTACTTGTCAAGGGCGACGATATGAATTCAATATCGCCTTGATGTACATATATAAATAAATGTATTATTTTAATACTTTATTGATACCTTTTTCTCGCAATGTACCTTTCAATACCGCTGCCATCTCCAATCAAGCGTTCTAGACATGATGTTTGATAGCGCTTTTTCGCCCAGTGTGTGACTGGGACAGACCGTGAATGGGCGCTGACGACTTGCGCATGAATGGCCCAAGTGTGCTGGCGGCGGGGGGGTGTGCATACTGGGGGGATTTTCAGGGGGTATAAAAGATGGGACAGGGGCTATGTGGAGAGCGGACGGATAGACAGACGAAGGCCTATAGAAAAGTGACGTGCGCTTTACAATTATTTCGTAATGCAAGCAAATGTGACCGAGCTGAGCAGACCAGAGAACGAAGCGCCAATAGAAGCTCAGTACACTCAAAAAAGAGGGACTCACATTAATTGGGCTGCCTTTTGATTGATTTTGAAGTGCTTTAATCATACATTGTTAAATAAATTCTCATCTGAACATGACTGAGGGTGAAATATAATGCTATGGCTGATGAACAAATTCCCTAAATGAGGTTTGCATATGCAAACTGATCGAACATTTGGAAAATATTATTGAGTACCACTTTTGCTCATTGAATTTCAGATAATCACATAAATTATAAATCTTGATACCAACGCCTAATAAAATAATCAAAATAAACTTCGAACCAATCTTAAGATGTAACAAACATCTACACTTGTGTGTATATCAAACTTTTTGTTAGATTGTTTGATCGAACCAATCTTAAGATGTAACAAACATCTACACTTGTGTGTATATCAAACTTTTTGTTAGATTGTTTGATGGTGAAAAGGTTTGAAGTTTTGAATTAAATGGAATGCAAAACAACCCGCACTGATTAGCTTTGTGTTTTCTTTACTTTGAAGAATTAACCATCATTATACACCGTCAGAAATTCGGGCTGAATTCATGGAATACATGTATTCCAATAAACATTCTATTTTTCATTTGTTTATTCATTTTTTTTTTTACTTATCTTATCTTCACTTCCACGTCTATGTGTAATAGCACTTCGGCATTTGTTTAGTTTTCGCTGATTGTTCTATTTTGATGTGTGTTTTAAATTGTAACTTTTTATTTTAAATATATTATTTTTGTGCATTATATATTTAAAGAGAGATCTGTGGATGGGGAAAAAATCCCTCGAGGATGTGCACACAGATTTATTTCTTGGAGTGCAGACTAGACTTACATCTTAGGCTCAGGCAGTGGGTGACAAATGTCAGCCGGTGGTTGCTCTACTAATCGGACATGTTGCGTTGACTTGTTTATGACTCTGGGCTTAGCAGCCGCACACTAAACCACGCAACCACCCAACCAGCCAACCACCCAAACACCCACCAGGATTGAATTGTCTGAGGGGCGAACTTGTGGGAAATCTGTAAATAGCTGCGAAAACTGCATAAGCCGGGTGGAGGAAGCCCAAAGCCTGGGGATCTGAATAGACAAAGGCAAATGTCATCAAAGTTGGCACCCGCGGGAAACTGAATGTCAGGCCCGAGAAAAATAAAGCAATTGACGAGGGACACCACTGCGTATGCGTAATCTTGTGCAATTTGTTCAGTTGAACTCTTTAAACTGCTCTCAGCGTTGACTCTGACACCTTCCCACGATGGCTTTCCATTTCGGCTTTTCCACAGTGTTTTTTCATTTTTCTATTTGGTTCGCAATTACGCGTCGCACAGCTGGACACAGCCAATGCAAAATCAGTGCCTCAGTGCCCAGACTCAGATTTGCAGTGTGGCACAAGGTCGCATTTATTTGGTGCACTTGCAATTGGCCAGAGGTGTGCTTTCGGCAGGGGGAGGTAGTACGAAGGTCACCTGCAGTGCGCCCCATGCCCACAGACAATGTTGCCAGTGCTGAAATATTATGAAATGAATACAAATATGTGCGGATCAGTCGGCGGCGTCATCCTTCAATTGATGGCGTTTTCAATGGGGGCAGTGGGTGACAAAGTGGATATCGAAATGTGATGGATGGTTTCAGCCGTGAAATCGAACAGAAAACCCCAAGTTGAAACGATCAAATGCTTTTTATTGGTATTTTAATATAATTCAAAATGGCATTTTATCTAGTGCTGAAGAGCTCTGTTTGTTGACTTTGAAATTTAAACTGCTTGCTGATTGCACTCAACAGGACTCCTCTTCGACTGTCGCATTTCTGTTTAAAAAAATGCCTTGCCATTTATCAGATATTTTTTGTTGTCTCTACTTTCCACGAAGATTGATTATTTGCAAAAGGCAGAGGCCTAAATCGAAGCCGAGCGGAGAAACGGGAAAAATCCTAACATTGATTAATGACAAATTGTTTGGCATAGTCTAACGTGCAAAAAGTTTTGGGTTTCCTGTCGACTTGCAATTCGAGGCCTATTTTCACCGGGAAAACTGTGCAAACTCAGGCCGAAACGGTTCTGCAGTGCTGTTACTTTTTGCCCCACCTTGCCAACGCCCAACCACCCAACTGCCGCCCATCTGCCACCCACCTGCCACCCACCTGCCACCCACCTGCCACCCATTTTCCAGATGTTGTTGTTGACGCTTCTTCCGTTCCTTGGTTTAGTTTTTCTTTTAGCTTACTTTCCGCTTTTGTTGCTGCCGCTTTTGCATTTGTTGCTGCACATTTTATTAACATTTTCATTTAGTTTTGCTCTCTCTCTCTCTGTCTCTGTCCCCCCAGCGCCTTGCTTTATTTTGCTTTTCATTGCAATTTGTGCTCCTATGCATTTTTGTGTGTGTTTTACATTCGTTTTCGTGTCGCCAGCAACATTGCCTCCAACTGCATTTGCCACGCCCCTCCACCCACAAAGCGGACCACCCTTCTTCACCGCCCATTGACCCACCACCCCGTTAGACCGCTCCACTTCCCCTCGTGCCACTGTTGCGCTCTTTTGCAGTTTGTTGAAGTTTTCATAATCATTGTCGTCGTCGTCGGTGCTTTTGCTACTGCCACTGTGTTTCCACCGCCTACTTTCGTTTCGGGCACAGCCTTTGCCTTTTGTTTTCCACACGCTTTCCCTGGGGAAAAGCCTATTTCCATTCGGGGCTCGGTTTGTCGGCCAAGAAAGTTCATAAGTTCAGCCTAAGATGGTTTATCGCATAATTTTTCTTATTACCTTCTTTAATTCCGTGAATGCGTTATTTTTTGCAAATATACTTCTCGTCGAAGTAGGGAATCTATTGAGTTCCAACTGTAGATTTCCCACTTAGTTTGAAAGAAATATCAAACACTAAAATATTTCCCACCGCTGAGATACGAAAATTGTATCTTTTTATAGGAATATCATTATAAAAGATTAACGAAAAATGCACAATGGTTGTTATAAGAATATGAAAAATCGAGCAAGTATGATAATAAACATATCTCGATATGATTCCAAATGTATTTAGATTAATATTTCGTCGCAGTGAGAAGTGCATCCGAGCAGTCTCCTAATTAGGGCCATGTTACTGTCTTCTTTTTGTTACATAAGCCGCTGCAGCGGCTGCCTGGAAAGTGTGGGGAGAGGGGCGACAGACGAGACGGGGTGGAAAGGTGGGAGGGAGTGGGTGAGATTTCCAGCACGAAAACAATGTCGGGAAAGCGGCTTATTTTCTATGATTTAAATAATGATGAAGACAGCAGACAACCGCAACTGGAACTGCAAGTGCTGCAGCTGATGATGATTGAGATAATGGTAATAATGACGAGGGCGGGGATGTTGGGCAGAATGGTTGCTAGACCTTCGACAATGCAAGCCTCCTACTCTTGTTTTGGCCGGATTGAAGAAGCTGGCTGAGGAGGCATCCGGACATTGGAGCCGATAAGAGATCGCCAGCTCGCCGTTTGTTTGTTGTCTTTTGGCCAGGCGGCCATAACATTTATCTAATTTTTTGCTCGTGCCTCGTACATATAGCTAATGCCTCATTTATCTTATACTTCCCTTCTCTTGGCTCTTCTCGTTTCAGAAAAATGTTCATTGGCGGCCTCAGTTGGCAGACAAGTCCAGGTGAGTGAAAAACGAGTTAAGTGAAAATTAGTAGATCTGTGCTAAGAATTGACTTCGGCCTGATAAAGGGGTCAATTAGCAGAAGAGTTAGGTAGCAATCCTGCGCTAAACAGCAAACAGGAAGTGGGGAAATCGTGGCTCTCTTAAATTTATTTCATTTTATGTAAATTCACAGCTTCTTATTTTATTTCTCGTAAGAATTAAGCACTTTTAATGGGGTTTTAAACACCAACCTAATAGTTCTGGTTATTTGTTTTATCGATTTTCAGCTGATAATAAGCAAAACTAAATCTATCTTTCGATTTTTCCATCGCGAAGTGCTTTGCTCAGCATCCCGAGATCTGTAGACATTTGTGAGGAACTGAATTTTGTATCTTAATTTGAATGGGCTACGAATTGATTCGGTTTCAGTTTGTGTTATGTGAATTCACATCAATGTGAGACAACAATGAATCGAGAGGCGGGGCTCTATTTAAATTGGAAATTGTAATTGATCAAATGCTTGAGATTTGCTCCCTTTTTCGAATCGAATCTGAATCTGAATCTGACGTCAATTGCGGAACGACTTCGGATACGAAAAGCGAGTTGCACGGAAACTGCGGGCCGGGGATGATTCCCTGCGGGATTTTCGCCCCATCTTATTCAGCCGCATAGTTTCATTAGGCTAATCAAAAGGCAACTTGCCATCAAAGCTCGTTGGGCATGCATATTAACCGAATTTGGATGGCACTCGAAACGAGGTCTGCAAAGTAGAGATTGCAGCCGTCTGGCAAGATGCGCTTGCCTTTTGGGAGCCCTTATATGTAGTATCTGCAGTGCTCACCCAAAAAGGAAAAGAAAGAAAAAGGAAAACCCCATACGAGTATATCGCTGCTTTGTGTTGTTGCTCGGACCGCTTGCGTTTTTGTTTTTTGTTTCTGGTTTTGTTTTTGTTTTTGGTTTTTGTTTAGCGAAATTGTTGGCTCCGCCCATCATCAGAGTGCCACTCGGCATTACGCTAACATATTATAACCTATAGCGCACATCCACACACTCGTTTGTACGGCTATTCACGAATACGAGTATAGTTGAACAGTCAATGCGGTCTTTGGTTTGTCTCTTTATTTTGGCCTTTCTCAGTTTTTGATTTTTTTTCCGAGGACGGGGGCGGGAGCGGGGGCGGGTTGGGACCGGTTCGCTGTACCTGTGCCAAAAAATTTTCAAATTTTCAAATGGCTTCTTCAATACGAATGCCGCCCCCCCACCCCACACCCTTTGCTCGTTTAGTTTTGGTTTTCGGTATGAGTGTGTTTTTGCCCGGCTCTTTTGTTATCTTTTCCCATTTCGGTGGCTGATGTGTGTGTCTTATTTCTTTTTTTTAATTTTTATTTTCGCTTCTTGGCAGCCGCCAGTTGGCCCCATGGAGCTGGTAAATTAGGCAAAAGCCAAAGGGCCCACAAGAACTTACAACAGGGGCCAAAAACGAATCGCTGCAAGTGTAAAAAATGTCTTTGGCGGAAATCGAGACAGCGCAAAAGTCAATTGTAAAGGAAATTGCGGCGAAGGGTCAATGAGTGGCACGTGAGTCGATCAAAAAGCAGCGAGTAGGGGCATTGAAATGGTTCTATAAACATTTGAATTCAAACTTTTGGCTTTAAATCAGTATCTGCCAAGCAAACCTTAAAAATCGCGTAAAACCCAAAACGTCCTTTTTGTATTATTTTGCATTCTTAGAATCTGAGCGCATGCTGCTAGAAACACTAGCTATACCGCTTCTTTCTGTTATGTCCAAAAATTAAGCCAAATCGGTTTTTCTTTGACCAGAAGAAACAAACAATTCAATTAGCTGCCATTTAAGCGCAAGGAACCCAGTTGAGAGAAGCTCTGCGAGTCTATTTCTTTCCTGGCCCCATGCGACCCACTCCCCCAAACTCTTGGCCACCACTAGTTGTATTATTGTTAGCCAAGTTGCAGCTCTGGCTCTGAAGGCAGAGGCCGGAACAGCAGAGCAGCAGAACAGCAGAACACCAGAACGCCGGCTCAAGTGGCTTCCACTTCCACTCGCGCCAAAAGCTTATGCTTTGGATTTTTCGCAGCTACCGCCACTCGAGCACACAGTCGCACAAACAGCTCAGGTCAAGACATTAGCACTGAAAATGTAATTAATCATTTATGTGAAATATATTCAAGTCCGGCGATCAGCAGACGAACTTTTTAGAGTTCGTTGTGAACAAATGCCCAACTTCAATTAAAGAATATCCACTGGAATTAATCGCATATATTACTGTTAGTTGCAAGACGAAATTTGAGTGTTTGTGGATACTATTACTTCAATAAAAATATCTTAATTATGGCATTTAATTTTCGCAACTATTGTTTTGCCTCCTGCTGTGGCTACATATGCCCAGCTTCTCCTCCCGCACAGTACACACTCGAAATGTGCTGACAAAGACCTAATCTAGGGCGTCTATAAACATGCGCTTGGGTCTAGCGCATAACGTACAGGGTCTAACGGCATAGTTAGGGCTGCTTTAGACAGGTCGGACTCGCAGGCGGGATCTGGAGCGGAGCGGAGTCTCCGACTGGCGACTGCGTACGTGTTGATAACTGCAGAGATGATGGCGACGATGATGATGGCGATGGGGGGCAGTGGAATAGAAGCATCCGCATTGCAGTGGGGGCCGAAGGCACTCAGGAGCGTTTGACTCTAGCTGGGCCAAGATTTTTAATGATTGGCACGATTGTCTTAGCTACTTAATGACGTTCTCGAGTGCTGCGAACCGCCCCCGATAGGTGCCGCCTTTGTGATGCTTTCGTGTCAACTAGCAAGTCATATACTCGAATAACTTAATGAACTTTGCCGTCTGCAGAGGCGGCATCCAGCCTCCAGTTGTTCCGGCTCGCCTCCTTCCAGCGAAGTCATCATCGCCCCGGCGTAATTTAATTTTAATTTCGCAAGCAGTTTGCTGGAAGTAATTGTATGCATTGAAAATGTATTTGCTGCTATCGCCTGGAAACACTCGGCGCCCGATTCGACTTCGACTTTTGGTGCCTTTGGCTTTGGCTTTGGCTTGGATTGGGATACAGTCAGAGTCAGAGTTCGCCATTCATCTTTATGTGCATATGGATACGAGTATGTCTGGATGAAAAGCCTTCGCTGGCTTTTTGTTAGTCTCCTCTGCTCCGCTGCTTCTCCACTCCTCTACTCGTCGTGATTTGTGTCAACTTTAACAACATTTTTGAAACACAATACGCGACCCGCTCCGCATTTTGCTATTTCGGATGTGCGTTCAACTGAAATACTATTTATATATGCACCAAAGATACAGCTACAGCTACAGCTACAGCTACAGCTACAGATACAGATACATTTGCATCTGCAGAACGGTGCGGCACATTACTCATGCAACAAATAACCAAATAAAGAGCCAGGGCGGGGGCACCAGCAAAAACATCCAGAAAAGTGAATTGATCGAAAAAATGGAAAGAGTGGCAGTGGAAGACAAAAAGCGAGCGGAGTAGAATCTATGCATGCATATCGCTCACATTTCGATGCCGCTTAGCGATAAAAGCGCCACCAGACTCGGCCCGAGATACTTTGAGCAAATAAATATGCATTTCTCGATTTACCCCTCGCCTTTTATTATTATTATTATTTTTGTTCGTTCGTTTGTTTGTTTGTTTGTTTGTTTGCCAGCTTGTGTCATGCAAATGAAAATGAAGCCAGCCCGAAGAAGAGCCTCTGTTTGCGCCGGGCATTATGGCTGTGTGCATATCCGGGCTTATTTCTCGAGCAGCGCTTCTCCTTTTGACGCCGCCAAACTGTCCAGGTAAAGTCAATAGATGGCTGAAAAGAGTTCAAAGGGTTGGAGCAAACACCGCCAAGGGATTGTCTATCATGTGCCCTGGGGAGATGGAAAGTGGGCGCAAAGTAACCTTTTTTTGAATGGCAATGAACTGCCAGTGTCGCGATTCAATGAAATTTAAGATCTTAAGATAGCTAGTTTATTATTACTTACTTTATCTATATATTCTTAATATTTCTTTTTGTTCAGCACTGCTAAAGCCCTTTTCTTAATCAAATTGTTGTTGTGGGTTTTTATTTAAAACTTATTTTTACATCGCGCGTTGCGGAGATTAGAAGCTTTTTGGCTTTATAAGAGTTACTTTTATTCACCAGTAGAAACAAAAGAATTTCAAATTTTTCGTACATTTACAAGTGAATTGTATGGCGGAGGGTTTTCATTTAAACCAATGCTTTTACCTAAAATTTAGGTGACTATTTTTTCATTACTTATCATAAACATTTAAAGGTCCCGACTATTTGAATGCCAATTTAAGTTTAAGGTACCGTCTTTAGGATTTTTTTATTTTGACCACTTCCATTTTTTACACAGACCAAAAACAGCCCATAATACAAAATTATAGTGATATCAATTTACATATTTAAACAATATTTGTTGTTTTCACTTTGAGTTCATGATGATTTCTTGACATCAATCACTACTACCGGTAATTGGCCACTTAGGAAACGGTTAGTGCGAAAACCATTTACGCGCAGCAATTAAAGTTTCTACTACATTCTAAACTAGATTTGCGCCACTCTATAACTCTTCGATTTGGCAACTAAAATCGGCAGTCTATTGCCACCCTGGGATTGAAATTGAATCAGGAAACAAACGATGATGAAAATATTTTTGCCGCTGGTTTTTAAAATCTAAAGTTGTAAAATTTTTGGAAACACGCCTGGGCCCGCCCATCTCAGGATGTAGGGAAAAAGGGGGCGTGGCGCGCAGCAGCGGAGGCGTGTCACCTTCGCCATCAGCATAGACGTAGTCGTTGCCTCGTTCGATTTCCTGATTAATTTATGCCACTCGACGGCAGAGGCAGTTAGCAACAATTTGCCGCAAGCAGAAGCGTCAAATTGAAATAGCTCAGCATGGCAGGCGAAAAACGGAGGAGAAGAAAATAAAATTGTCAATAAAATAAGTGCCGGACGGTTGCCCCCAGCCAGCCATTCC